TTTCAGAGATGTCCAGTTGTTTTCACAGATTATGAGCATATGCGTCTTGAGTTATATTACAACTTTGATTTGTGAATGAGTGTACCGATACTGTATATTTTTGGAAGAGTATGTGAAAAATCCCTGTAGGGGCTGTCTAGAGCTCCCTCTCATGGAGCCTTTCACGGAGTGGCATGAGCAAGTAACTTCGGTGCTCCAACCTTCTTAAGATGATACACACTAGACGAGGGGCTTGAGAGAGTGGTAGGTTAAGGGGGGTTTGTATTAAGATGGAAGTTTGTGCATTACAGTGCCTGGTTTATGCAATTCAATCGCCGCCTTTAACATAATATGCAGCTATAAGAAACGTCTCCAAGTGCTTTACGCGACATCCCCTTTATCTATCTGCTGAATACACCGAGATCTGTAACCGAGCACCATACGCTAAAACAGAGAGCTCTTTCACCAAGAAGCCAAAGCGAAGAGGAAATGTCCCTTGATTTTGTTTGCCAAATAAGACTGTAGCTATTGGCATTCCGTGCTGGCAAAGGGCCACGTAATTTGATATTTTCATGCATTCAGCCTGGAGTACCTAACAAGAACATTGACCAACACAGTCTACAGCAAACACATTGTTCCCGCAGACATTCGTTTCGCTGTGCCGCGCCGCTTTAATTGAAGGGGCTTTTTATACAAATGTTTATAGAGCTTGGCAGGTGCCCATGGGCAAACGTTGAAGCTGGCCATCCATGCTGTTGAAATGTGAACTACGGTCCTTGCCGGCCCTGGAAAAAAAATCCGCCGTGTTGACATAACTGTATAGATGAAACCGCTGGTTCGCTATTTTAAGCCATGGCCCCTTGCATTGTGGAGGTTTCTTTGGCCAACTATAGTAATAGGATTATTTTAATTACATGCTTGGCGATTTGCGAATTAAAGTGTGTGTGGTGCGTGTTAACGGTGGTGGCGCACCCGCCAACGGGTTGCTTACATCTAGCAGCTGATAGGGGAGCAGCCCTTGAGTTATGTGTTCAATCTCATTGTGTGAACACGTAAAAGACTTTTTCATTTCATTGCCGGATGAAGGCCTCCCAATGCTTTGTTAGTCGTGGGAATAGTTTGACCATATGTCGCCTCGCTGGTCAATCAATGCGGGTTGGTGAAGGCAGGGAGCATAGACGTGGGAGCGCACATTTAAGTACAACAATGGATTTCCCTGCACTGCCCTCCACGTATTTCTGCACGTAGAGTGCATAGTGGTCACCTATCCAAGCTCAACACTGCTTATCCCGTGAGATGAGCAGTGTGATAACCTGCTTAGTAAGGAGTAATTCTGCATTAATTCACAGGGTTAATATCGATTCTGTAAGCTAAAAAAACGTGCATCAAATCATGCGTTGTAGGAATCGATGCTTTTCAATGCGTATATATTGTAAGTAATGGGTTCACGTCAGCACTACAACCACTATAGACCGCTACAGCCACCGCAATGTTCTACGTTGGCCTACAGTACGCTCGCTGCACACAAATAAGCACCGTACCGTTCCTGTGCCGGGGCCATAACTTGAGAAATTAATGTATTATTTAACTCTAAAAGTGGGGAGAGTGGAACCCTGTCCTGTCTCACATGATGAAAAAAAAGGATTGATCCTTTAATCAAATTTCAACCTTGAATTGCACCAATCTATGAATGACCGGGGTGAGTTTTAACACCTCCTGTTGCTGAGTACATGGTTGAGGCCTTGTATTTCAATGACCTTTTAAGATTAGGACTGTAGTTATAACATACTAGTTTTGTAACTTGTTAACGGTGGCATTGCTAATGTTGTTCTTGCCCAGTCTTAGTGTTTTTTTTCCCTTCTGAACTTGAAAAAGTAGCAGAGTAAAGTGTTTCCATAACACCCTGGTTTCGTCATTGTTGAAAAAAGAAATTCCTTTATCCAAACCCATCCTGCGTCCAAAGGTCTGGCTTTATTCCATACGCGCTCTAAGGAAGCGTGAATAATTTGTGTTTCCATGGCTCCATTTAATTTAGAAATGTCTTGCTTTGAGAGCCGGACTTACTTAGTACAGCTGATGATTAATTCACGGCAGATTTGGCTGGTAAATGCACAGCAAATGCATGCTGTACTTGGTATAATGTGTCATGGCATGCTGAGCGTCCTTAATGATACAGAGCCCATGGACAGAAAAGGATTTGCACATGCATTATGAATACAGTACATTCAAGTTGCATTTATATTAAATCTAAATATTTGAATTGTTGGATTCTTGAGTGCAGATCTTATTCTCTGACCAGCACGACCACGTGATATTATCTACGACTATGTGACAGAATGAGATCCAATTATGTGCTAACCGTGATCTAATTGGTCTTTTCCTCTGATTAATGAGTAGCCTTGATCCCCACTCCGTAATGAAAACGAAGGCTCCTGTAGTGCACTTGCAGGAGCAGCCGATGCGATATTTGCTCTCTAATCGTGTGGTTTGTCCACAGTGTGACAGCGCTGTTATTGTTGTGCACGTTTAGGTATTTTAGAAAGTATTGTACACGGTCCAATGCAGTTTTTGTATACAGCAGATGGTGTATGAAGTTATTGACCAATTTGTGCAGCTTGTGTGGCTTTTTCCATATGTGTTTTTTCCCCCCGGGAACTTTGATTTCCCCTTGCATGCAGTAATATGCAAACCAAAACATGTGCATGTACAGCCCTTTTTGTCACTCCACTGCTAGATGAAGGCTTCCCCACACCATACGGGTCGTGGGAGGAGTTATTTGACCATATATCACCCCGCTGGTCAATGCTGGACAATGCGGGGAGCAGAGAAGAGCAGTGCAGCTGTCGATCTTGTTGTACTGCCCTGTCCGCCACATATCTCTACAGCCTATCACAACGTTTTCGTTGCACGGTGGTCATTCATTCACTCACTATCCAAGCTCAAACCTGTTTAGCTTCTGAGACCTGATGAGATCGGGTGCATTTATTCCGTAGGCATTTTACACGCGGTAATCAGTGCTTATCCCAAGCTTCGCTTAGGCACGGGAGATTTAAAAAAATCTTGTTATTCGCGACTATACACAGATGGGAATCGCCTGCAAGTGGTCTCCCGAAACTACTCAAGTCTCCCCATTATCTGAGCTTTTGCACCTGCTTTGACATAACTGCTTTGACATAACATGGACACTGACAAGGGGACATAGAACAAAAGCTTATAAGTGAACAAAGAAGTATAGATAGGTGCAAGCTTGGAACTACACTGAGATACAGGATTGGAGAACATACGCAAGTTATAAAAAAAACAGCATTATGACCGTTGAGACAATTTAAATGGCTTGAGCAACATCTGTCGCTGAAAGGAATGATGGCCGGTGTTCGAGATTAATGACCGTGGCACCAAAGTAGGGGACTTTTTATTTAACCAGGTGAAGCCCACTGAGTTATACAGCCCTTTTTCAGACGTGACCTGGCAACAAATGATAGCTCAACGAAGTAGCCTAGGTGGACATTCATAGCAGCCAAATACTCTAAACGCATGTTTCTAAATGTCGAGGGGTAAACCAGAGTACCCGGAGAAAAATCCACACGACCACGGGGAGAACACACAAACTCCAAATATACAGGCGTTAGGCTCGCGAACGAACCCACGACCTCCTGCATACCAGGTCAGGGAGTTAATGTCTGGTCGCTGTGGAATGTCCCTCAAGGACTTGTACGAAGGGTGTGGAGCGTTTAACTCGTTTGCCGGAGATAGATGGAGTGTTGCATTGCGAGACCATGAAGCATGGAGGCGATTGGGGAAAGCCTTAATTCAACAGTGGATGGATCATGGCTACTGATGAAGATCTGCACGGATAACAGATGTTACTTCAGCAGATAATTGTATCTGCCACTAGCATCATCCCCCACATCGCCACGGATTACAGGAATTTCGCCATGTTATTTCCTTGCCAACTCTGTTCGCTGCAAGGCTTATAATAATTTACAGCCGATGTCAGACTATTGTCATTACCCTCTAACAGTTGACAGTGTGAGGTGCTCTGTAAGCACTTGCTTTGATTTATTTGGAAAAATAATGCATTGCTTCAAAAGCAATCTTTCAAGCACTATTGAAAAAGTGTCATTTGCATGCAGCAAATGGGAGTGCTTTCTTGAGATGCCACTGTCTGGTAGAAATGGATATTTAAAAAATGAAAGCTCTAACTTTTCATTATACAGTGTCTTGGAGGATTCAATTAAAAATAATTACGACTGCGCCATCGTTTTTCGCCTTTGGAAGGTTGTGGACAATAAAATAATTATAAACGTGCAATAATGTGTTTCTCCCGAAATGAAATAACGCTCGTGTTAATCGACCAATGCATTTTTTTTCTCCATTATTTTCCAGCAGTGTTGTTTGAAGTTAGGCAAAAAAAATCAACTAGTTTTTACTTCCCCGAGTCTCATCCGCAGGGATGCGGCCTTTATAAAGACAAATGCTGCTGGGTTGGCGAATGCAAGAGGCAAGAGCCCTCTACGAATACTGTGTGGAGGCTGTTCAGTGTAGTGCAGCAACGTTTTACAGATGATGCAATGCCTTAGTGATTTTTGCGAGTAATAACAAGTAAATGTACAGCCCTTTTTTCAGATATAGGTGTCCCCTATGCAGTGTTGGATCATGGGGGTTGTTTAATCATACTTAGCCATTCGGGTCAGTGTGGTTTGGTGAACGGGAAGGGTTGGCAGTCGGGGGGGAGGGAGATGGGTTAGCACTAGTTCAGATATCACTGGCAAAAGATGGCCAGGAATCGAACTCGGATTGCCACATTCTTAGTACAGTATGCTAACCACTGCACCACCACCACTCCATCACCTAGTAAAAGAAGTTATGTTATAGATCTCGTCATGAAAATGAAATTAAACAACATAGACTCGTCAACCAATGTCATCTTTGGACCAATGTTATCCAGAAGAAGGCGCTATGTATGTAGAAGATGGTTATTTATTGGTGCATGACGCTGAGCCTTTGTTTGTGGCTTACAGAGATCCGCCTGCAGCTGGTCGAGCAGCTCAAGTGCCTGGAGCAGCAGACAGAGCTGCGGCAGCAGCTGCTGCAGGACTTCCAGGACTTCTTCCGTCGCCGCTCGGAGCTGGAGTTGGAGTACGCGCGGGGCCTGGACCGCCTGGCCGAGCGCTTCCTTGGCCGCGCCCGCGCCGCTCGCGATCATCCCCAACTCAGGTGAAGCCTCCACCCGTCCCCCAGTGCCCTCGCCTCGTGACCTCCGTGACTACTCGTGTCATCGCACTCGTTGCTAAGCTGCTAGACGAAGGGAAATAATCAGGTCGTTAGCACACTTGGCATTCACACATTTCTTAGAGCAAAAGGGTGTTGCAAATGGGCTGTGTTTCGTAGGCGAGTGTCGTCTGCAGTGGTTTCACCAGTCGGAGACAATGTTGTTATGTGGCATTACCCAGTTGAGTAATTTGAGAGTAATTTTTCAAATTTGGCACCTTTGGACCAAGGTGGCGCAGTGGTCTGTAGAGAGTTGGAAATCCGGCGGTCCTGAGTTTGATCTCGGGCCCTGGATTCATTGTGCAGTACACTAATCATCGTGCCAACCATTCCACCCAAAATATATTCCGTGTGTATATTATATCTAGATTTGAAGCTTTCGTGACTGCAAGGATTCATACTCTTAGGTTTTTTTCGGTAAAGTCACGTAGGTAAAAACAATAAATAAATAATAAAATGCCCTTTTCCCTAATAGAAATAAAATAATAAATCACGACGTTTCGGGCGCAACACAAGCGTCCGTCATCAGGTGGGACTTGGAGTATATATTATATCTTATGCACCGTTTAACCAAGTATTTTAGCTGAATATTCAATCTATCTCTCCAGTGCAAGGCCATGGCCAGACTGAGAAATTATAATCATGGGAGCAGGGCTTGCATTTCTAGAGCTACCCTGGTGTGACATTGACAACCACACCGCTTGGCCCGAGTTCCCTGCTGCCAAGCACTCAGCCCTCATTTAGGATCCCCCTTCCTCCGTGCTTGTTTTTTGGCACGGCATCAGAAAGTCACTCTGCTTGCCCAGTACTCGGTGAAGATCCTCCACGACATTGCTTAGCAGAACTGGTTGTGCCGAAGCAGCGCATTGTTTACTATAAGAGCTGCCCGGTTAAACCGGTTAAGCAAAGAACATGGAGTGTCGTTACTGCAGCCAAATGAATTGCTTCCATTGGTCATTAAGTTGGTGTTCTTTAGAATAACAAATCGTATTTCTTTTTGAAAAAACAAAATACACGCGTGCCTTACTGTCGCCATTTTAACCTTTTAAAAAAAAGCTATCAACGCAGAACTATTTTCACTGCCATTGGAAACCGGATCGACAGCCCTTTATGGTACTGCATTACAGGAAATGTAAACATCTTCCTTGTTGTGCAATGAGTATTACAATTTACAGCCTTTGGCATAAAAAAACAACATACAGTGCGTAATTATGTGGGCTCAGAAAGATTTTTTTATAGTTACAGTGAGACACTGTGGTAAGTTGCCTAAAGCCATAATTTAAATCATGGAACTCTTGAGTTAAGTTTTCCACGTGTGTTACTTCACAGCGCTTGCATTGTGGTTACCGGTTCCATGCGCTGCCTGCCCTTAGTGAAAATAAATAGTGCTCAAAATTTTTGCCGGTTTCTGGCTTTAATTATTGTGGATGGGCCCCCCCCTGAGATTTCCTCGTGAGTTGTAGCGTCAAAAGCTTTTCTCTGTTGATATTATCTCTCCCTTTAAGGTTTTTGAAAACGCGTATCGTCTTCATTTTTTAAGTTGTCTTGCCGTCTTGTAAAATCGTATCTCTGGGTATGTTTGTGTACATGTGTAGGATGTTTGTTACGTGCACTATTTGTTCACGGTGCATGAATTCTGTTTGGGCCAGTCTTCATTTTAAACTTAATATTCCATCATATACATGAATGTAAATGTTCATGTAAATGTATGTAATTTAAATGTATACTATTGCATCTAATAAATAAGATACCATTTTCTTTTTAATCTTTCACCTTTATTTAAGTGCATTTCTAAACCTGCTTTGTGTCAACAATGTGCCGCACATGTTAACAAATTAAACGGGTTTCTTTAAACCACGGTTACTGAACACAAGCCCAAAGGCCCAACATGCCAAGTGGCCAGCAACAAGCGGCACTCTTGAGAGTTTACGAGTGAATACGTATTAAATTGAGCAAGGTTATACAATCTCGGGGAAAATAGACGATGGGAGGAAATTCCTTACATCGAGCAGAATATGGGAAAAGGCAAAGAGAGAAGCGTTGTGACCTACCGTATGTAGGGTGGTTGAACGCTGAATGAATGAGAAAAAACAGGAATCAATGAGTGAATGTTGTGGAAACAGTTACCATTCTAGTAGCGATCAGGAGGCTACTGCGCAGCAGTGAGTGAGTGACTGGAGTGAATTAGGAGTGCTGGATCATCAATCAATCTTACTGCTTTACATCGAATTATATTAAGTACAGTGAGGCAGGGCCCTGGGTGCCTCACCCCAGTTATAAATGCAGAAGAAAATACACTCCTGAGTACAAGATTGTAGACAATGCCCTCTGCCTTACATCGCACACAAACAACTTTGATAATTGTTTTTTGACCCTTTTATCTGGCAACAAAATTGACACATTTTTTACAAGGAGTCATGTTTGCATAGACCACAATACTTGCAGTCATAATGCAAACAAAAAACATAACTCTGATAATGTATGCACTGTCCTTGAAGTTGATTGGTCCACACCCGAGACAGCTTTCCTTAGAGCCTAGTCTCACATGGTGTTGGACCAGATGACGCCAAAAGGCTCGGGTGTGGACCAATCAACTTCAAGGACAGTGCATACATTATCAGAGTTATGTTTTTTTTTGCATTATGACTGCAGGTATTGTGGTCTATGCAAAACATGACTCCTTGTAAAAAAAAAGGTGTCAGTTTTGTTGCCAGATAAAGGGTAAAAAACCAATTATCATATTTTTTCTTCTGGCAAATGAGGTTCCAATGGTACAAACAACTTTGTTTTGAAAAGGGCCTGCGGAACCATATTCTAAACACCATCATGAGCTCCATCCGCTCATGTTCGCAAGTCCTTAAGATTATAAAACCTACAGCAATGTCATCAAGCACTCTTGGCAAACTGCATACATTAAAAGGCCCTTGGTCTGATGTTGGAGGATCTTCGGAGAATGCAAGTTGGGGCAAATAAGAACCTGGAATATGCGTGAGCCAGGTGTTTTTGTTGCATTGCATGTTGAGCCAAGTGTAACATGCCCTCTGGACTAACATCGTATACATTAGGGCATGCATGGGCTTAGATAACACGAGGCACCACATATTATACAGTATTATTGAACGATATTGTTTTACCTTTCTGTTGTTGGCTTTATGTGCATACATTTATATCTTGCTGCCTTTCCATGACTCATTGAGAAGGGTTCCAGCGCGGTTCATAAACTAAGCTAGGCTCGCCGACTCGGCCCAGGTGCTCATGACAATTCGACTGTACCGACGCAGTGCCCAAGGATACTCGGTGAACGATCTTAAGAGCTCGCTCGCGTAACTTTCATAGCTGAGAGAGAGTGCATCTCCCTTCAGACGTCACCGAGCTGCACACGTTTACCACCGATTACATTCGGAGCTGGTCGTGACGTTTAGGGGTCAATGTGGAAACAGGATGCTGCACAGTCAATGGTGCTCCTCACTTAGCTGAACTCTACGGATGAATAGGAGATTTTCACTTGGTGTAATAACCACAATGTAACCTAAACCTAGGTTAAGTGTTTTTTTTTTTTAAGATCACTTCCTTCCAGCCGCAAAGAAGTCTGGAGAGGGAAAGAGCCCTCGCAGAATCTGTACTTCTGTTCCTGAAACACTTAATAGGGTCGTCCTGGGCCGCCGGGCACATGTAAAATAAAAATAAAACATTTAATGAATTGATGCAATCACTGTACTTGAAGTTGTGCTCAAGTTATTTGGATGTAATTGTCGTTGATTTTTCAGCTGTATAATACATTCTAATATAAAAGTATAAGAACAAGTAATGCAATACAATGGCTTTGAATATTTAATCCTCCAGCAGTTGAGGAAATGGTTGTGAATTAGATGAATAGCCGATAATTAATTGAGTAGATATTGTTACATTTTTACTGTCCGTTTATTTACTTGTTTGTTTTCACGGTGTTTGTACAGTTTTAGATTTGAAGCTTTCGTGACTGCAAGGATTCAAACTCTTAGGTTTTTTCAGTAAAGTCACGTAGGTAAAAGTAAAAAATAAAAATAATAGAAATTATTTAATTTTTATTATTTCTATTATTTTTATTGTTCATTTTTACCTACGTGACTTTACCGAAAAAACCTAAGAGTTTGTACAGTTTTGTCTGCTCCTTTAGCCGGGATGTAACATTAATCACAAAAAAAATATTATTGACTGTACAAACCCTTCATTCCCCTCTATTTTAGGCAGAGGATTTAATTTAAATCGATGGCTCGACCTATTGCAAAATGGCTACTATATTTACATCACATCAATCCATCGTAGGATTAAGGTTTCACTGCGTTGGTCATAGGAGTTGTTTGACCATACTTCACCATGCTGGTCAAAGCGTGTTGTTGAAGGGTGAGGCCAAAACCAGTGTATATCACACTCTGATGTTAGCCATGGCTGGGAATCAAACTCAGGTCTCCAGGTTCATAGTGCGACATGCTGACTATGTATGTTGTTGAACTTCTTTCGCACACCGTGCATAGCCAACCATGCTCACCTATGAAGCTAACACATCTGACTCAACTTACTACATACAGAGCACTATTATAATTTAGCCAATTCTCCTAATACGGTTTTAATAAGAAGTGCATTTGACATTTGCATTAACACCGCGAAAGCAATGTTGGGCACGTGCTGGGGGGAGTTATGTGGTGCCTTTGCTGTCTTGCTTGGATTCCACATATCACAGCCTGCAGCAAAGGCGGAACTTTGGGAATTAAACTGTGTGCCCATGGTCAATTGTGAATTACTCCCAAGCTGACAATATAATTGACAAACCACAGGAGCGTCGCTTTACCTCGCTATGATGAGCGTTGACTCCTACTGCGTAAAAACAGCTCTCCAATGCATTTCTCTTTAATCGTGAATTTCCAAACACTAGACCCGTCATTACTCACTTTTATGTACTGCTGCATTTTTATTTTCCTTTCCTCTCATTTAATCGCGAAAGCATAATATGCTTAATAGCAAGTAATATTGAAGCTTAATATTACTGTGATTGTTAGTAATGTCTGGTCTTGCGGCAGCCTTAACTTATGTAAAATGCAGCATTTCACAGTTGAAAGCAGATAGGTTCAGTGTGCATGTTAAGGTTTATTTGTCTATATATTATAATTATTTCATATCTTGCAAACCAGACACACAAAGGAGTCATCTGTGGAGTTTAATTTCAAATTCCACGTGGACCATGAAAATACTGTCACATTGCCTTTTTCTCTCCATGCCTTGGCTGGCAATTTTCTATGAAAATGAATCGCCAGTACAGATTATCATGTTGGTTTTAATTTGGTGTCAATTGTTATGCTCATTGTGAGTGGTGTGCATTGTCCTTTATTAAAGTTTGCAAATGGTACATTTTCCTGCCCTTCACCATTTAGCCAACTTTACAGAAAAGAAATTACAAATTAGAATGTGCTTAATATTAATCTATATAACACAGAAATAAAAATGTGTAGAGCTTACACGGCTAGTGTGAATATTGAGCAACATCCAGAATTCCACCTACATCTACGCCTCCCCCTCCCTTCACCAACCCATTTTTACCAGCGTGGTGAAGTATGGTCAATTAAACTCCCGAAGGCCCCCATCCTGCAGGGGATTGACAAAGGGCTGTCTATACATGTACATCCCTTGGAGCGGCGAGCACTGAGTGTGTGTACTTTACGCCGTAACACCTTTGTATTTGTGCTGGACAGGCGCGAGCAGAGCGTGCTGTCACCTGTCAACTGCTGGTACCTGCTGCTGAACCAGACGCGGCGTGAGAGCCGAGACCACTCGGCCATCAGCGACATCTACATCAACAACCTGGTCCTGCGCTTCAGCCAGATAGGGGAAGATTCCACGCGGCTGCTCAAGAAGGTACTGTGCTCGTCCCATAATTCCAGCTGCTAAAGTTCCCGCCCAGTGGCTGGGTGGGTCAGGGGTCAGATGACTGAGCTGGCACCACTGATCCTGGGTTTTTATTCTGGGATTCGGCAGCCTGTGATTAAAATGGCTTCTCAAGTGTGAACTACTGTTTCTGTTTATTTGTTGTCCATCCTCCGCACCTCCGATTAGCACGGTTGGCGACGCAGAGTGCCAAAGTTCAACATACATACATGACGAGATAATGGTCTCAGTCTGCCTTTGTAATTTGTTAAAATTTCAGCTCTGAGAATTAAACAAAAATATTGGTTTGACTGCCATGTGGTGAACATGTACTTTGGCAGTAAGGTAAGTAGGAAACTGCCCACTAGTGTGGGTAAAAAGGTCACTTGAGATCACAGAAAAAGTTTTGTGATATCACCTTTTTCAGGCTGCTATCCAACTTGGAGGGTGCTGTTTCTGCTCTGCAAGAGGGTCCGAATTGAGACTTATCTCCTGATATGGCAAAATTTAGGAAAAGTATAATCTTCTTTGGTTAAATTTATCAGGTGATCGTAAACCACTCGGTTCCTGGTCCTCCCTTTTATTTGTACATGACAAGTACTCCGCCAAATTGTCCTATTTTTCTATGAGCACAATTGTATTTCCCATTGCATTTAGTTCATTTGTCCTTAGAATTCCATTCATTGTTCAAGCATTGCCTCAACCGTATCACTTTAGACGTGAGAAAACGTGGGTCAGATTGATACAACCGCTGTGACCAACACCTATGTTTTAAAAACATTAACTATGCTGCCAAGGTTCATTCTTAATTGCAATGTTTTGAGAAATAACTTAACATGGATTTGCATGAATTGTTTTGTCAAACTGTTTGCTTTAAACTGTTTATTTTTCTCGTTACAAGGGCTAATAAAATAACACGAGTTTTCTTATTCTAAGCATGAGATACTAATCCATGCCAAGTGTCCTTATTTTTTCAAGTATTTGCATCTTGTCAAATCCTGTTATTACACTTCAGTCCGATGGTACCAAATGTGGTGGTCACCTCAACCGTGTAGGTCACGACTCGAAGGGCGGGCAAATAACTGTGCCGACGTATGGCGTGTGAACAACTTATTGGTTCTTCTGAGCAGTCTGTATGCGAAGCATATATAGATTCCTGCGTCTGAAAGGAGAGCCTTCTGGTAATTACACCAAGCAGGGGATGTCTCGGAACGCACTGACCCAACACCCCGAGCTTCGCATCTGACCCATACTTGGCGTATCAAGTCGCGGCTCGCTGACTCAAGAGAACTACAGAGCACCGTTGATTGTATGCAGCGCCAAGCCAAGGTCGCCTCTTCAGAAACTCGCACGCTATAGTGATTCGCTGAATTCTTCAGGGTATAAGCTATAAAACTCCTGGAGGTAAAACCAAGGAGACGGCAGCATTTCCCTGTGCGTTTCGGTACCACCGGTTCCGCCAGGTCCATGGGGTCTCAGGGTTTCGAGAGAAGGATATACGTTTTTTGCCCCCCAACATCTGCCTCCAAGAAAGGAAAGAATATTCAACAACTCAAGATAAATCTCCTCGTACCGCCACACCAGCCTGGGTCTAAATGAAGTTGAAAGCTTGCAACGCATGCGCGTGACACTGAAATTTTGGCCTTAGCCAGGCTCAGCTCCTGAGTCGGCACACACTATTGTGGCCACGAGCGTACGATATTGCCGCTTAGTAACACCGAGAAGAATGCGGACATCCGCGAGGTTTTCGCATGCTTGGCAATAATGTCCCTCCATGCCTGGTCTTGGCAACGGAGGACCATGCTTCATTCCAAGAAAGACTAACTGGCGTTCTGGAGAGCGCCCTCCGTGCTGAGAAATGCTCACCAAGACCGCTCGTAGTAGCGGAGTGAAGATGATAACCTCAAGAATCACAGGCGTGTCGCCTATCATAGATGGTGTCCTAGCTAAGGCTAAATCCCATCAACGTGGGCAAGAGGAGCCTTAGTCATACAATCCCTCGAGTACATTGGGGCAACAGAGTCGTAGACTGTCATGATATAGTCGTGGCCGTATCGTTGGACAACCACTTAACGAACACAGGATGCAACGATTCGGTTGCTGGACCGGTACCTTCTCTTCACAATAGCAGATGCTAGGTGAGGCCGGAAGGCTCTGCAAGTTTTCGTGGAAATAAGGTGTAAGGGACTTGCGTTCATGGGGTCCGTATGTTCCAGGGTAAACCGAACTAGCTATGGCACCCCTAAATGCATGTTGTCGCGAACGTTTACGATTAATTGTTACCCTGCGATATTCCAGACGTTTAAGATGCGCGGATTTTGCATGGATCGTTGCCTCGTATACGCAGTGTACTCCGGAGTTATGATGGCTGGAGCGCCTCAATAACGATACTATGCTCAATCCCGACAAAGATGCAAAAGATCGATAGCTACACGTAATGTATCTTTCCCAATAGTCTAGCCACAGGCTAAAACACAGCCACCCATTCCAACAGTCCAATGCTGACCATTAATGTGAAACGAATCTGGGTAGTAGGAACTAAGAGCGAATGGAATTGATCCGACGATTAAAACAGGATATAATCTCTCACTAGACTTCCTGGAGCGAGTTGCAATTGCCTATATGGTTAGCTATGTCGACGTATAGATCCCCTCAGTGCGAATGGTTTCACCCCATCCTAAATGTTTTTGCCACATGACTATATTACCCGAACTGAGTTGATTGCATTGTAGGTACCACGGTACGAACCGGGCTATCCCCGGTGCGCTACTAGCACAATTATTGATGGTCTTTCGCGCCTGGACTGGAATCGGCCTCTGCGACTACCTATGAGGGCGGCCAGATTTGTAAATCCTCGGTCTCCCATTTTTATTTTAGGAAATGCCCGTTAGTTATTTCCCACTCCTCCAGCCGCTTCGGCCCTGGAACCGGGTATTTCTAAATCACAGTCACTGGAAGTACCCGCAGCACACCATTACCGATCTCGAGCTAGCAAACGGGTATAACGAAGATAGCTATTATCCGTCAGATATGAGCTTCATTTCTGCTCAGACTCCCTCACGCCCTATTGAGATAGTGTGACGCATTAGACGTAGTTTTTTTCACGTAAGAGCTGAAGCTCTGCTCTTCTGCGGGCCTTTTACAAAGGCCTAGTCGTTGTTCCCTTCACAACTGTTTAGCGCGTGGAGAGTAACATCATAGAATAGCCAGCTCATCCCCTCTATGTCGCCGCCATATCGTTTGGCCTGAAGTTGCGTTGACCTAAAAGTAGAGAGCTCAAGAAAGCTTCATACTAATGTTACGACGGAGACCCGCAATGAAAGTTCTCACTGACAAGATGGGCCCAAGTATCATTGCCAACTTCCACCTGGGGGTTCCATCTGGGTTGCTTTCGTGAGAACCAAGGTAGTGATTTGACGCGTCAAATTCCTCCAACGTGAACGATGTTCTGACTCTTGTCTCGTCATGCAGCGCATTAAAACAGTTCACCCAACTGTACGGTCGTCGCTACGTTCTACGCGCTCTAATGACGCAACTTCCAGGAAGTGCGCAGAGCACTGATTCCGGGTACATTAAAATATTGTCACCCCTTCCCGGATGCCTTTTAACCTTGCAGCCCGCCTTAACCAATTAACCTATACGTTAGGGCTTCGCTCAACAGTTCTCGCGGAATACTAGCCCGCTCCCCTTCTTTATGTCATTCTTTTAGTGGCGACCGGATATCGCTATAATCCGCCGTGGTAAATCCGTTAACATGCCGATGTGTGTACTTAGATCAAAGTCCAAGTGGCGAGGCCGCAAGATAGAAATCCAGCATAGCCGTCCCTACTCCTCAGGGCTAGGCAAGCTCGCTCGAGACACCTGCGAGTCGCGAGCCCCGCTGTAGTCGTCGAGATGTGCGCGACCTACGCGGCTATGAAAGGTGTCCCTCCTACAGTCAAGACGTCGCAGGTAACGGCCCCGACTCTAGTCCCGTGAGGGTAGAACCTGGGGTATAAATAGTAATAGCAACACGCAACTGATCTTTATCCACATATTTTACAGAAATTTCTACTGGTTAATAGTCTCTTCATAGAAGATGATACTACAGTTTGCGTACAGGTCAAGGAAACCATCGGCTCGGTCTATGTACCTTGACAAGGGCTCCCCACCAACCAGTCCCGTGTAACCATTTGTATCTCCCACATCCAGCGCTGCTCAAAAGAGAGGCACGACAGCCTACTTGGGCCCAAATCGCTTCACTCCTAACGCGTGTAAAAATGGATCAAGTGTCTGACACATGTGGTCATGTAGGAAGCGCGGTGATTTGCCCACCTACTAATTTAATTACTATTGCCTAACCTAACCCGGTCTACCCGGATTTAGAAGGGTTGTATTACAGCATTTTGGAGCACGAACCTAATTATTCAATTCTGTCATATGCGTCTTCTCCGCGATCTAAAATGTCTTACCCGGTAGCTTTGTCCCCCACCTAACGAAAGTACGGCGCTTGTTTTCGAAAGAGGAAATTAACCGGCTAGGCGACTTGTAAATCAAGCGTATTTTGCCCGTCTGATCCTCGATCATTGACCATCATTTCAGGAGGTAGCATTAAACAACTCATCGTCTTTTTCAAAATCCCAATGCGACTAAAATAATTCCTCGAGACCTTTTTCAATCCCCCTACAAAGCAGGCCTCAGTATATTGACCGGCACCGGTGTTCACCGACATGAATGTTGTACCAGCTCCGCCCGGAAAATGTTCTCGCTGGTCTTGCTGCGCACGCAACGCCCAGAATCGGCTCTTCAACTTTTGCATATGATCCGTAGACGGGAGTGGTCTTACAGACGGTGTCAAGAAACCAAGGAGCGGGTCTTAATGGATGCCGGTTACTGATGAAGCGTACGGGGTATCGAGAGGGTATCCAAGCGCGGTATACGAGTAATGTGTATATCGAGAACAGCTGGTAGGCGTTCATTCACACAGTTTTGTGCCTGGAATTAGCGAACATTTAAACTACAATTCATGGGACCCGTCATAGCCTCATCAACGGCACAACGTCGAGACGCTCAATTCTATTGCCTCGGCGATCGCTGGATTAGTTGACGGGTCGTCGTTCACATGAAACAACCTTCATTAACTTCTCATAGTTGACTTGTTTTCCATCGTGTGAGACATAAGAATCTAAGTTTATACCTCGAGACTCAACGGCACGGTGGGCCTGTTTTAATAGTGACCCCGTTCTTCCCGCCCGCTTAGTTGAACAAAGGCTGTTATCATGCCAAGTCCATCTACTCTCTTTTAACCGTCAGCGCCAACAGCCGGATAATAGATACCCATGCCGGCATGGAGCTCGATCTTGGTTTCACTTTTCAGCTAACATGGTCCTATGGATTATTATAACTGCTGGACGCAGTCGGGCCAAAAAAAACGGAGAGAACACCCAATGGAGAGTGAATCGGCGAAAACAAGAATAAACCTATTGCACAGGGGGGCGGAAGTTCGTAACTAGAGGTCGGGATGTCATGGCGGGTAGCAATGGGACCGATTAGTATACAAGGCGGATTCCGTACGAGCCTCAGAAGGTAGCACGCGTAGTATTCGATGAAACCAGATCGGGAAATCTGGTCCGGCGATCGTGTAATGCGACCTGCAGACCCCCTGGGGGCAATAATAATGGGGCCCTAGTAAAGATGCGAAATTATCGACGCTTGTATTCCTTTAGTCAGAATACATTCACCGAAAAAACTAAGCATTACTGCCCTGTGCAGGACCGGACAAGCCGCTACCTCCCCTGAAACGGTATCGCATATTTGTTGAAAGTATACATATGCTAACACGAGTAACGTTGTCGGTAAGACTGTGTGTTACCTATGCAACTCTCTCCGTCGGGACACAATGCCAAGAAGTTATCCGCACATAGAACCTTGACTGCGGCCTACGTGAGCGATCTGATCTAATAGAACCTAGACGGTCCGTAAGACCGAGGTTGAGTAGTGGTGATCGACCGCACTCTCCGGTGTGAGTAGGGAGTAAAGTAGTCGCAGATCCTCAGCTCTGCGGTTCTTGGGGGTGTTCTGGGTTCCACGCTTACACAGATGCTTCTCTTTGCTTCTGAACTCAGCCTTCCTATAAATATGAAGAGCGGGTCTTTGTAAACGCTGTCGCTGGGATTGCATGCCAGGCGCAAGTACTTTCTATCACTGACAAAGGCACTCCTTAGCGAGCGTCCGAGCGGTAGCAGCGGAGAGAGAGATAGCAATATGTTGAGTTGTTTGTGGCTGTTCTCAACAACATAATCGTGCAACTTCTTAGAGGCCAGGATCATTACTCGCATTTTATCTACCAGCAAGCCATATGGTTACCAAGATCAAAGCCCCAGATTGAATTGACATGGGCAATCCCTTGTGATCGCATACGGGTCTGCAGTCCCGAATCGTAAACGGGTAGGTTCCCCGCAATTACACTAACGCGCGTTCTCCACTCACCAGCCGGTCGACAATCCAAGGTTGTTCAGGATCGCACCCCGGAAGCTGAAATATTCCGACCTCCGACTGCCAATTAGGATGTGTCCCGTGCGCTGAGTATTTGTCCCTATTCGTACATGTGCAGAGGGCAAATGGTCTTAAACCGGCTCGTATCCTAATCGGGTCAAGTGGCTCGGGTCCCTTCCTCCAGGAACGATAAAGATGGTGTAGGCATCACAGCAACGGTTGGAGTTTATTGACTCTTGGGAACAAATCGGATGGTACCCTTGGCGATTTATCTCGTGACTCTAAAACGCACAAAGCACACTCATTCAACAGGTCTGGAAATGACCCCAACCAGGCATTTGTAATAAATAGCCCGGTACACGCGTGCGCGCATGAGCACTTGAATGGTCCGCCTTGACTGAGGAACTATCCAGCCTCTCAGGAACCGCGATTTCGAGTTACGTCTGCTCCTGCCCAGATCTATGTCGTCTTAGTCTTCGCCAAATGCTTGGGCAGCACCGCCTTCATGTGACCAGAACTTTGTCCATTAAAATTGGTGTACGTGCCGGATACGCCGCTGCTCCGCGCAATTCAGACCAATAGACACGCATTCGCGGGTACGTACGTGGTCAACACGCGGGGGTCGCTAAGTACACTTTGTCGTACTCGGGCCTGTAAAAGCAGACTGTAATGGCATTCACAGTCCCACAGGTCTAAAGTGGTATTGCCCCCAGCGTGACGGCTAATTTACAGTTATAAGCACGGTCCATCTGGTAAATGGAGTTTCAGCAACCCAGCACAAATCTACCGCCGTTGTCACGGGAAGGTTTGGAGGGAACAGCTGGCATATTGAGACCTATCCTATAGTGAAAGGGTCTTCGACTTGTTTCCGGGTGCCGTTAAGACGTACAACCCCAAATCACTCGATCCTTTGTCAATTATCCTTTTGTCTGTACGGCCTTGATGCTGTCCACTAGGCGCCTAAGACTGACAAGTGGTCCATCGGTAATGGATGTTTATTAGGTTTACCCCGCACATCAGTCGAGTGTGCCTATACTGGTCGCTCTCATCTGATAAGATCCATTGCACTTTTCTTTTGTCGTATTCGCCGGGCAATCGATCGTTACTCCCTCCTGCCCCTCTATCTTATCAGATAGTAATTACGTTGCTTCCGTTTGGTTCGACTGACCGGTGGACGAATGGGCAGAATTGTCTAAGCAACCCTACGTGGGCTCCGTCTTGGAATACTAAGTATTACAAGAGCTTCTCACGACGTCCTCGAATATCGTTGAGTATGACCTAGCACGCCGAACTGCTTATTGTCGTCCGAGTAATCGTAAGTATGAAATGTCACCTCATTTCACGGAAGAACCCTCGAGCTTTTAAAGCTTCATGAACCTGTACGAGAATCATGGGACGATCTTCAGCCGCATATACACGCCACTAACTGCGCCGCCTATTACATATTAAGGTAGATGGTCGCTGGCCTTCCTTTTTGGGAAGCTTCGGATTCCCGACACACTTGAAATCAACAGGATGTTGGGTAGGAGATCTGTAACGAGAGAATTGGTAGGCCGCGTGTCTCCACCGGAAACGTGTCCCTCTGCGGTGCCGAACTGCTCCATGACACTAAGCCTATACTTCACGGTCGTGGAACTACTTCTGGGGCGGTCACCAGGACTGTTGGCCTCGTATCATTTTAGAAAGTCAAAGCGCCACGGGGTCCATCGAACCCGGTACTTCCTCAATGGCGTACGCAAGGGAGTCGGATTGCGGTACGGCTGTCCTCGGCAACAGCTAGGGTCCACGTGCGGTCTCGGTTGGAGGCCTCCGGGCGTCCTAAGTTAGCCATCTGGAATAACACACTCATGAATTCTACCCTTCTTTCATTGCCACGGTCCTACCCCTATGCTGAGGAAGCTCGCGGCATGGGCTGATTAATAGCACTAAACAAGATGCGGGAGTCTTATTGCACTAGGGCGAGCTCTCCCGTCGTATTAGTCGATTTTATTCGTTAGGTACAAGCTCGTACTGGATGCGAGTCCAGGGGAGTTACTTGTCGGATCATTTGGTCTGGTGGGACCGATCTTATTCCAAGTAGAGGCTTTTCAGTCGGCTCACGCATGCTGCAAATTTTTGGCTGCGGAGGTACGAAAACACGGTGCTTGCCAAGCTCGGACCCCTGATTAACGTGGGTTAGTCCTAAGTTCTCGAACTTGTAACAGGTATGAAAATTTCTGCCCAACTCTAAGTAACTCCTACCAGCATTATGGGCGTATATGCGGTTCGAACCAGACGTCCCGGCATACCGTTAGCGGTTCAGGTCCCCTAGTCGGGGATTGACCCCTGCGCTTTGAAACTAGAATACGTGCGATTCTGATTCCTATTGTCTCATTTACACCGGTAATATGCCTGGATGAACTAAAATAGGGGTATTGCATGCTAGCGCTGATATCGTAGCGATGCTCGCCGTAGGTACCTTATGACCCTAGAGCTGCCACTCCGTCTTGGTACTTTGCTGGAGTCGCCTGCCCCTCCGACCCTACAATTATACGCGGGCAAGATGAAGATCGTAGTCACCCGCGGTCATCTAGCCTGCTTTATTAACGACCAGATAGCTAAACTCGGCCGGGGGTGGATTTCAGGTAGGCCCCATAATGCTAACCCCGCTACTGAACTGATGGCTCGCCATGCCCAGCCATATATCATGCAGACTTCTGGACTTTTTACCATTCCCTCCTACCCAGCATCCGTATCCGGACCGCTCTATCCTCTTCGTTGGATGTTGTGCGATGACGCGTGCTGGATGCGCTCTCCCGTTGATAACCAAGAGTACTATGCTCGGGGGTATACAATTGTACGCGGTGGATTACACGAGGTTGAAGCTCTAACAAATTGAGGGGACAAGCGAGGTGAGTGCCGTGTGATTTTATTACTCAATTATTTAGCTAAACTTCAGCGAGTAGTAGTTAGTCTACCAAAATCGAGTTTTGCTCTTATACGAACGTCTGTAAGCGTACCGTGCGGTTGATGAGTACTTAGCTTCAACCGTCTGACTCAGATAGTGTGAGAAAGAGATGGAAAGCCGCCGTGTCGGTTGATCCTTAATGGCCTAGGTAACAGGTTGTAATATTATTTATCAACTGTGCGGGCCTCGTCGGCTGCACAGCGTGGTACATGCTACTGACATAGGCAACAGGCTAATTCTTAGGCTGCGCGAAAACCATAAGATGATGGGACGACGAGCCTTACCAAAGATTGAGCGGCTTAAACGACAGAAGTGAGACATGGGATCTTGAGCTAAGGCGACCCTATTCGGTCACTGCGGTACTGTGCTCAGAGCTGGATTTCCATGAAAAGTTTCTATTGTTCCGCCCTATCTCATCGGAGGAGGATTCAGTACGATGAATTCTCGAGGGTCAACCGCAAAGTCACGTTCCGCTTGCCGGAAAACCATACGGGCGGTTCCTAATTGATCTTGATTCGGCATTCATAAGCAATCGGGGCGGCAACGGTCCGTTATAATCCATAGGTGTCTTCAGTAGAAGTCAGACTCCAGAGCTGTACGATTGTAGTTTGGTGAGGCAAATAAGGTAGGCAAGCAAAGTGTTATCGGGCCTTATCATACCGCACGAGTGATTACTGGTAGTGACCCATCCATGATCACCTCAAGCAATTTGTCGGACTACTGGCAAAAGCTATACTTATGCCCCCAATCCATATCGGAACAGCCACGCAGCTATCAACGAGACCTGATCAGACTCCTGCATCCGAACGCTGCCCGATCTAAAAAGGAAACGTTTCAAATCCCATTTGGATTACCACGCCATCGGTACGGTGGGTTTGTCTCCCTCTTCTACGTCCTCTTACGCTACGGCAGAAAGATCTA